GGGTGGGATGGGATGGGATGGGATGAGATGGGGTGGGATGGGGTGGGATGGGATGGGATGGGATGAGATGGGGTGGGATGGGGTGGAATGCAATGAGATGGAATGCAATGGAATGCGATGGGATATAGTGAGATGCACTGGGATGTACCTTCCCTTGGCAGTCGCAGGTGATGGGGCCAGGGTTACCAATGAGCAACGGTGAGTCAGAACAGGAGCAAGTGCAAAATAACAGAAGCACTTGCTCAGCGTGTTGCACTCAGCCAGGAAATCACATCTCCTCCCACATGGGCCCTGCAGCAGGCGGGGTGCAGCCCACCTCCATGGAGAAAGCGCCCAGCCAGGGCCAATCCTGCTCCTGCCTGCGCTGTGGTGCTGCATCTCTTCAGGCCACAAAGCCCCAGGGACAACCTCTGGGGGAGACAGGTGTTGCTGGACCCATTGGTACTCTCCATCCTGCCAGGGCCAGAGAAAAGCAGTTCTCACAGCGCGCTGTGGTCTAGCATGCAGCACTGAGATGTGTGTAACAGTGCTATTTACACCCTGGGGGGCATGAGAGCAGAGGACAGTGGAAAACCCAACCTCAGCCACATCTGAGTCACCTCCGGCCCCATCTGAGCGCAGTGAAAGGGAAATCCCCCAGCAGGTCAGGTCACGGAGGTGCCTCCTCCAACCCACTCACATTTTCCCCTCCTGCTGTTGTTGCCTTCCCTTGAGACCCCCTGTGTCTCCTCACCCCATTCTCACCGTGCCGTTTCTCCCCCCCCCCCGGATGCTGCAGTTTCCTGCTGACAGCCCCAACCCCGCTGCTGGGATGCGGCGGTGGCAGCAGCACATGGGAGGCATCCACGCGCTCATCAAACCCCCCATTTCTCCCAGCAGAAACGCTCAGGGCTGGGATCGTTCTGATGTTTTTCCCTTGGCACAGATATCTGCAGGCAGCCGGTTCTGCCGAGGCGACGCAGCGAGGCGCTGCCAAGCACGATGCACAGCGGGGCTGACATTTCCGAGCAGCATTTGGTGGATGATTAATGCTGCACAGTGTGGAGCCGTGCCAGAGCCGGTAGTGAAGCGGGGCACAGGGGTGCAAAGCCCCACTTGTAAGGCCGACAGCCCCCGGTGCCACCATTTGGCTGCATTGGTGCCAAACCTGCAGCGGAGCATCCCCATGCACAGGGATGTGGCTGCAGTGCCTGTGCCTCCAGCAGACCCCATTGGTGCCCATTTTGGGTACAAGTGATGCACTCAACCCAGCGGTGCCACCCACCCTTGTATCCTGCACCTCTTGCTCCCAGTGCAGCCCTGAATGTGTGCAACACAGAGCCACGGTGATGCTGCAGGGGGGAACCAAGCAGTGGAGCCGGCACTCAGCAGCTGCATTTGCTCAACTCAGAGTGCAAATGATTAAACCGTTATTTAGTTTTGTTAATGCTAAATTAGAGGCTTATTACGGGTTAAAGCAGTTATTAAGAAATGCTATTAAGCATCAACAGTGCTTAATAACTGCTTTATTAAACAGCTGTGCATGCTGGACACCCACCCATAGCCATGCACCCTGCAGACCCCATGGTGATGTGAGCGTCTCCATCCCCACGGCCCACATGCAGGGAGGTGAGCACTGGGTGCCCGCCAAGGAAGGGCCCAGACCAGCGACTTTGCAACTCCAAGCTTTATTCGGTTGCGGTGTGACTCACACGGAGGGAGATGGGAGGTGAGGCCTTGGGGGCAGCGGCAGATGGGGGCAGCGCTCGGCCCCCTGTGCCCGGCAGTGCAAGGGCTTCAGTTGGAGGGGTGGTAAGCGCCGCGCTGGTGCCACTGCATGTCCCGAATGCGCCGCACCGACTGGATCTGGGGGTGCTGGGCGCCAAACTCGGAGCTGTCTTTGTAGTCACCCTTCTCAAACAGGTACTGGTAGCCTCGGTAGCCAGGGTACTGATAGCCCACCCACCTGCGGGCAAGCACGAGGCGTGACTCAATGGCCACAGCATGGCCCAGTGGCCACAACACGACCCACTGGCCATAACCCAACCCAATGGCCATAACACAACCAATGGCCACAACACGACCCGATGGCCACAACACAACCAATGGCCACAGGATGGCCACGGCGCAGTGCCACGTGGGCGCATCGTCCACTCCCCTCACCCCCTACTCACGTGCCACTCTGCACCCGCACGGAGGAGACCTTCTCCTGGTAGCCATGCGCATGGAAGCTGGGCACGTCGTCGTCAATGATCTCAATTTTCTTGCCGGTGAAGCTGGGGTTTTCATACAGCACAATCTTGTGCTCCTGGCTGTCCTGCAGCGGGGAGAGCGGAGGTGGGGATCAGCACCGCCAGCCCCAGGGCTGGGCAGGGGGCAAAGCTTGGGGCCGTGGGGAAACTGAGGCAAGGGGTCCCCCCGCCGCACCCCCCAGCAGCCGCCCTCCGCTCTCAGGGCACCACTCCCCATCCCAACCACCCCCCGGGGGTCCCTGAGGGCTGCCCCTCCGCCTGTGGGGCTGGGGAGGGCGGGGGAAGGCGGGGGAAGCCATCGGGCTGCAGACCTTGGTCTGGCGGGTGGGTAGTGGCTGTCGGGGTGCTCTCACCACTTTGATGGGTCTCAGGGAGGTGATGCTGTCGCTTCTCCGGCTGTTGGTCCAGGAGTCCCAGCGGGGGTACTCCCCCTTCTCAAACACAAACTGCTCACCCTTGCAGCTTGCCTGCTCGTAGCCCACCCAGCTGGAAGGGAGCAGAGGGGTGGGCTTCAAGGGGGGGCTGCGATGAGCCCCCTGCCATGCCCCCTCTTCTCCATGCTATGAAACACAACAAGCACTGCAGTGCAGGGGGAGCAGCCTCCATCTAAGGCAAACACAGGTACCCCTCTCCCAGGACCCCCCTCCCCCACCAACGTACGGTCCGGAGTGCACGAGGATGGAGCCCACTTTGTCCACACCGGCATCCTTCAGGTTGGGGCAGACACCACTGAGCTCATGGCAGCGGCCCTGGAAGTTCTCCTGCTCGAAGATCGCAATCTGCAGGAGAATGAGGCCATGAGAGCAGGGCATGGCCCACGCTGACCCCAAAATAAGCACTGACCATAGGGCCCCCACCCTCACGGCACAGCCAACAGGGCGCATCCCCATGAGCCGCCAGCTCAGCACTGATTTCATGGTTCAGTGGGGCGGCAGGAGAGCGTGCATCACATCTGTGGGGATGGCAGGGGACTGGGAGCTGATCCTGGGTCCCTAGAATGCCTTGATCACAGAGAGGACCCCAAAGGGCAGAGCAGCCGCATGGTCACCCCAGCACTGGAGCTGCAGTTGGAATGCCCAGAGGGGATTTGGGGTGTCCTGGCCCCACAGACTGACCTTGGAGCTGGCGGGCTGCTGCTTGGAGGCCGGCATCTGGTGTTCGGAAGCCATGCTCAGCTGGGCGTGCTGCTTCTTCGGGGGGAAGCTCAGCATTAGCGGCTGCCAGACTGTGCTTGTGGCCCCCGCTCCATGCCCACATCCACACCCCATACCCAGTGCTGAACCACGCTGAGCCCCATCCTGACTGTGTCCCCACTGTGCTGCTCGGGGGTCAAAGCCCCGTTCCCCATGGGGTGAGGGTCCCAGCGCGGAGCTGGGATGGGCCCTGTGCACCAAACAGCCACAAAGTGGGGCGGTTCTGGTCAAAAATTGTATGACTGACTTAGTGCCCAGCTTCGGGCAGCACTGCCCCTGGGTTGCCCGGTCCGTGGCTCCGGGTGAGAAGCTGCAAGACAGGGTGGAAACAAACCCAGAAAGGAGAGGACAAAAAGAGAGAATCCTTACCAGTGAGACCAGTACCGCCTGAGCCAGTGGAGGTCTGGGACCGCGGGGTGGAATTTATACCGCCTCGCAGCAGAACGATGCCCAGACTATTTACCAAATAGCTAGAGCATGATTCAAAGCGAGAATGCTGGATTAAACCCCAATGAAAACCTCGGTCAGCTGACCCGCCGGGCCATTGTCTCCTGAAACCCCAAGTCGAAGTTATTTCATTAGCTTTCACATTCGCCTCACCCGCTTTGTTGGGTTTGTTGGCAAGGAGATTTGGAGTTTGCATGCATCAGCCGAACGCATGCCAAGACCCAGAGCGGCCCTTGCGAACAAAGGCCCGGCAGCCCTGCTTCAGGAGTTTTGGAGCCAGGGAATTGATCCCCCCGACAAACCGCCGCGAGCGCCGAACCGCTGCCGTCAGCACTTTCCTCGCGCAGTGCCAACTGGAGAGCTGGAGCGGGGAGCACCTGAGGCACCCATCCCCAGCCAGGGGATCCCCAGCCCTGTGCCAAGCGGGGTGAGCGCTGGGGGTCCTCCTGTAGCCCCAACCCTTTTTGGGGCCCCAGCAGTGACTCAACGTGGGTTCCATCGGCACACGGGGACAAAGACACCATTGGATCGCCACTGGGCCGCATCCTGCAGCTCTGCACCTGCACGGTGCTGGCAGGATCCCTCCTGTGACCAAGCCGTTTTCCTTGGTGACTCACGGTTCTGAGGCCCCTCGCAGCAGCACACCCCTCCATCGCCCCATGTGGCACACAGCATCAGCACAGAGGAGAGCAGCACTCCCAGAGCGTTCTGCAGGGCCTGCGCCCCCCACCTGCAGCTCCTCCTGCCCCAGCATCATGGAAGGACCCTGGGGCTCTTCTGCCCGGATATGTCCATCAGCACTCGCCCTGATGCACACAGGACAGCAGCACACAATCAGAGCTTAGCATAAGGCTCAGGAAGCACCCTCATGGGGCCACACAGAGCTGGGACTGCAGGAAACTGCTTCACACCAGGGATGGCTTTTGGCAGCTCTGGTGCGTGATCCATTGATGCAACAGATCCAGAGCAGGATCCTTCTCCATCCCCAATGCTAGGGGCAGAGGCACACAGTGTGAAGGGTGGTCACGTGCCCAGCTGCCATCACCATCCCCCACGAGGGTCCCCCCAGCCCAGGGTGAGGGCACATGGCGCAGCACCGAGCAGAGAATCATAAAAGTAGGTAAAGACCTTATCCAGTCCAACCCAAACCCACCCCCACCATGCCCACTAGCACGTCCCCATGTGTCCCAGACAACCGCACACGTGGGGTGCTCAGGTAGCTGTGATCCATCCCTCATCCCTGCTGCCAGTCCCAGACATCACCACTACTTCCACGCCCCATGCAGCTGCTCACAGTACCACCACCTGGGCGCAAGTGTCAGGATGGGTCCTCCTCTAATTCTGGGGCTCACAGCAGGATCCAGCAGTTGGCCCCAAGGCTCTGCCCTGCTGCGTGCCCCATCCGGGACAGCCTCATCCCAACACAGCAGGACCAGCAGGACAGGGTGCAGGAGATGCCCCATGCACCTGGTTGGCACCAGGGCCCCATGCACAGCCAAGGTCATGCCATGCCTGGCATCCCTGGTGGCTGCACCAGCACTGAGCTCACAGCATGGCACATGGCACAGGACGCATTTGCAACGAAAGGGGCTGCGGGGAAGTGTTGGGGAGATCAGCCTGGGAAGCAACAGCTCTGGAGGTGAAACAGTGCTGCAGTGTGCGGTACAGGAGCAGCCCCAGGGATGAAGGATGCACAGGAGGCTGAGGGCTGCGCAATGCCCTGGGGGTTATACATGGGGCACAGTCCAGCCGTGGGTCAGCCCCACTCTGGGTGCTGCACAGCATGTGAGCTGCCCACATGCCCAGCCGTGCTCCAGCCTTGGTCCCACTGTGCTCAGGGGCATCGCTCCCACGGCCCAGGCTTTGAGAAGGGAACAAACCCTTGGCAAGCGCCCCGAGCCGCAGCCCTGGGGCTGTTGGTTTTGGACGGCCGCAGCCTTTATGTAACACTGCACCCGCTCCGTGCGCCCCGGCTGCGCCCGCTTCCCACCCTGAGCACGCAGCGCCACAGCCTCAGCTCAGAGCTTTATTGAGGTTTTTGCACAAAGAACACCAAACCGATGGCACCGGCGGTAGCAGCACCACCGCCCATCGCAGGGCCGGCACGACGCTCAGCTGTTCTCGAAGCAGCCACGCTGGTGCCACTGCTGGTCCCGCACGCGGCGCACCGACTGCATCAGGGGCTGGTTGGCATCCCACTCGTTCCAGTGCCGGTACTCGCCCTTCTCAAAGACGTGCTGGCGGCCCCGATACCCCGGGTACTCATAGCCCACCCACCTGCGCATGGAGGCAGCGCTCAGCGGGGCCGTGGGGACAATTTGCTGTCCCCAGGACAGGAGAGCTGCCCCGTCCCACCGCTGTCACCCTTACGTTCCGTTCAGGGCCCGGACGCTGGCCACCCGATCCTGGAAGCCGTGGGCCCACAGGCTGGGCACGTCGTCATCCACGATCTCCATCTTGCGGCCGGTGTAGCCAGCATTCTCAAAGAGGTGGATCTTGTGGTCAGGGCTGTCCTAAAAGGGACATGGGTTAGGGGATAACCCCACGACCCCCTCCAGCCCTCTGTGCCCTCCACTGCCACTACTCACGATCTGGAGGGGGCGGAGGGACATGAGGCTGTCGCTGTTGTGGCTGTTGGACCAGGAGTCCCAGCGCGGGTAGTCACCCTTCTCCAGCACAAACTGCTCCCCAGCAAAGGCCTGCCGCTCAAAGCCCAGCCACCTGCAGGGCAGCACGTCAGCACTCCCCGCAGGGGGACATGGCCCAGGGCAGCTGTATCCCAGTCCCACCCCCAACTTACGGGCCGGACTCCACCTGGATGGAGCCCACCTTCTCCAGAGCTTTCTCGACCACGTTGGGGAGCTCCTCGCTCAACTCACACCTGCGGCCCTGGAAGTTCTCCAGCTCATAGATGGTGATCTGGGGGTGCAGAAACAGCACCAGCTGCTGTGGGTGGCTGCACATCTTGTGCCAGCACAGAGCTGAGCTGAGCACTCAGTCTCAGAGCCCGCCAGACCCCACGGATGTTAGCACCACATCCCCATGCCGGGGACAGCGCTCCACTGATGGTAGATCCGTGGCCCAGTGCTGGCTCCCACCAGTCCCACCACATCCCAGGCATGCTCCAGCCCTGAGAAAGAGCTCATATTTGGGTATTTTCACCTCAAACCCCACTGCCTCACATAGACTGCTGTGCAGTGCTGAGGCAGATCCCCACCCTGGGGGGGTCCCAGCTGCAAGCCCCGGTCTGGGTCACGGGGTGGCACGCAGGATAGAGGTGACACCCACATCCCTCAGCCCAAACCCACAAACAGCAGTTCATCACCACCCGAGCAGAGAGCCGCAGCAGTGCTCCATCTCCTGGAGCTGCATGCACTGCAGCCCAAGAGGAAAAATCACGGGGAGGTGACAAACACAACGGGACACAGCTGCTGCTGGTGGCTCTGATGGCACCGGCGCAGCCAGGGGCTTCACCACGTAGCACTCGGGTGCTGGTGACACCAGTGACCAACCACACGCACAGGCAGCGTGTCACCACCATCCCGCATACCTTATAATTGCCACCGCGCTCACCAGCGCCCTCCCCAGTCACCATCTGCTCGGGGGGACTCTGCTGCTCGGTCATCGTGCCTGGAAAACCCAAATCGCGGCCGTTAACGCAGCATCGGCTTCAGGTGAGGCACCTGACCCTCCCCACTGCTACAGGGTTAATAGGAGAGGGATCCAAGCAAGCCCCACGCGTGCCGTTCTGGTTAATTGCGGTTAACGACACCCCGCAGCGCCGCTCCTCGCCCCGGCCCGGCTGCGCCGCACACCTCTCTTGCTGTGTCCCGCGGCGATGCCCTGCTGCGGCCGCGCTATTTATGGGCTGCGTCTGCCCAGGGCAGCACTTTGCTCGGATGCTGATGCAGCAGCCGCGTCCGCTTGATTCCATCCGTGAGATTTCATCTCAATAGGGCGGGCGCGCGGCGCTGCATGGGAGCAGCGTTGGGATTTCTCCCGGCCGCCCCTTAAAAATGTGCCGCAGATTAACGTCGAAATCGGCGTCAGCACGTTCACGGAGCTTCTTGCCAGGAGCTCTGGAAAACTCTCCCATCAGCAGCAAAGGGCAGGGCTGGGGCAGAGCACAAGCAACACCGTGCAGGGCACTGAAGCTGCTGGGGGCTGCTCACGGCATGGAGGCAAGGGCGAAGGCAAGCAGATCCCCAAACCCATCTCACAGCCTTGCTCCTGCCCCCAAAGCCACGTCCTCCCTAGAATCCCACCTTTTCCCCCCTCTGTAATTCACGAGGATGAAGAAAAAGCGACCACTGCTGATCTGCTCCTGATCAAAGAGGTCAAATCCATGAGAGAAACCGCTTGCTCCTCCTTCCCAACACTTGTGCTCAGCTGAGGCAGCGCAGAACGCACACCATGGTTCCCTCCCAAGGCAGAGACTGGCTCACCCCCAATGGGACCACGGTGGGGTAAGGGAGCCTGCCCTGGGATCACACCACAGCTCAACTGACTCATTAGGTGTCTCTAATTAACACAGAGCTGATGAACGCACCGCTTTAAGGGCACGTTCCCACCTCACCTGAACAGCAAACACAGCACGTGGCAACAGAAGCGTGTGAAGAAAATAAACGTGTATGTAAAGTGCATTACAGTCTGTTCTGCCATTTATCACATAGGAACATGTTCACAGATCTTTTATTACAGTGAGAACCTGCAGAGAAGGAAGTAGGGATATTCAACTCTTATACAATATAAAGAAATAGAGCAGAAAAGACACTTTCCCATTCAACACCATTCTAAAGATGCTTTTTAATTAGACATGTAAGCATTAAACATTTCTCAGTAGTAGGTTGAACTACTAAATACAGTAAGTTTCAGTGCATTGTCCAAGCAGACGTGGAAATGCATACGCATTTGTTCCCCAAACACAGAGCCAAGGCTGTGGGCAAAGAATCTCTGCCTTCATCTGTCAGACCATAGAGCAGCCAGCTCTCCAATGAGCGCTAACGCAACGCCGTCAGCCTGCTGAATTAAGCCTGCCTAAGTGTTCTGGTAAGCAGGGGGAATTTACCTGATTTCTAGATCTTTTTTAAAGTGGGACTGAGCTGGTGAACGCTGCCTGAAAAATTCCAACAGCCGTGCGCACAAAGCTGGCCTCAGATCTGCCTTTTCCACCACGATCCAACAAGAAGGGAAGAAAACGTGCAATTTGTTGAGAATCGGCTACGGGCAGCTCTTGTGGTTGACCCCATTTGAGCAGACATCCACAGCTCGGGGCTGGAAGGTCAGGTGGCGAGTTGGGAGGTGGAAGAGGCTTCCGATGGGACGGGGGCAACGGTGTGCAATGGGGCACGGCAGCAAGGAAGGGTTTTAATTAGAGAGCCGTGCTGATGAAGTGCGAGGAGCCGCTACTGCAAGCGGAGCTGGGCAGACGTGCAGATGGGCCCTGCGTGCTGCCGTGCCCACGAGCAGGGCGGCTCCTCCAGGAGGAGCAGTGGCACACGGGTTTGGCAGCGAGGGGCTCGGCAGGCAGCAGCACTGCTGTGGGAGCCCCGGCGGAATGGGAGCCTTCTGAGGAGCTGGGATGGTGAAGGAGAAAAGGAGAAAAAGTTCAGTGCTGGTGGCTGCGTCTGCAGGAGCAAAGGGCGCCCGGCAGCGGGGCCGAAGCAACAGGCGGCTCCTCCTACGGGCTGCTGAAAAGAGCACTTCATGGGGGAAAGGATCAGGTGTGCCCCGAAGGGCCATCGTGCCTGACAGCCAAACCTGCATTCCAAACCGCATCGGGGACCCAGCGGCAGCCTGAGAGCTGCCTTACGCCTGAGGCCAGGGGTGCGGCTGCTGGAACCTCAGCCTTAGCAATAGAAGGACAAGGAAATCATCTGAGCCCGCAGCTCACCTTCAGGCCGTCCCACACAGTCGGCATAAAAACAGAACTTAAAACGGGTATTTACAGATCAATGGATAAAAACATGAAGTGGGATCATCCAAACTGCCGTGAAAGTGACGTTCGACAATCGACTGGAACCCTGATATGAGTAGAACATCCTCCCTCTTGTCTTCCTTTTTTTTTTGTTATAAAAAAACAGTATTTACATTCTTTTTTTATATATATATATATATGTATATATGTATATATATCTTTTTAAAGAGAACTGGTTGACGTTATTGCTTGATCCTTTTTTGTAGGAAAGACATTCCGATGAAGCAATTATCCCACATGCTGACAAAACACTGAATGCACCACTTCAAGGGTGACCCAAAATTAACAATTTGTTCATCTAAAAAAAAAAGAAAAAAAAAAGAGATCCATCTGCCGGATCAGCAGAGCACACGGAAGTAGAAGCCAATCAAAAATACATTGTACAAAAAAAATCATCAAGTTTCCTTTTTCAGTATGGCAGTAAACATCATTTGTTCTTCCACTCTCACATTCCACAAACTTCCTTCTCAATAGGAGCTATTATTTTTTTTTTTTCAACCCCCCCCAAAAAAGATAAATGTGATTAAAATCCTGATGTTCATAAACAAACACAAAGCCCAGCCTCACACCCATCTACCAGAAGTCAGACTTCTCAGGTGCTGAGCATCCAGGTAGGAATGAAGTCTTTGTTCTACAGCGAGGGGACTTCTCCAGTGCACAGCACTCCTACATCAAACACGACAATCTTTCTGAAAGTCAGTGCTATGAACCACTGGTTCTTCTTCCAGGTAGCTCTAAAGTGACCATCCTCCCACATCCAGAAAGATACAGCTTTGTATTTGACTATGAATATTAAGCAGCTTTCTCCACAAAACAGGAAGGCACCATGCACATAGCAGTTGAGGCAGGAAGCAAACAGCAGCAACATGATGTGTGAATTTTAAGTTCAGATGAGTTAAGGCTTCTGTTAAACTTCTTTATCTTCTAGCTAGAATCACTATCTGAAAAGGAAAAAACAAGACAGAAATTGCTGAAGTAAATGAATGAATGGTCAAGGAATATCATAGAATATAGGTTGGAAAAGACTACTAAGATCATCTGGTCCAACCACAACAGCAGTGAAGCACCTTTTAGCATCTGCAGTAGCAAAGACCCACAAATGTCTGTTTACTGGTGCAGTGTCATCGTGGTCTTGTCCTGTTCAACGCACTGAACATCCAAGAGCTGCCCAGCATGCTGCTGAAAATCAGCACGCTCATATTGTGTACAAGTCTCACTTCATACAATCATAATCATGGAACCATAAAGGTTGGAAAAGACCTCTAAGGTCATCCAAGCCCAGTGGCTGCCTTGCTGCTGGTCAAACAGAAGCACCAGGGAATGGCAGCACAAATGGGCTGAGAGGTGTCAAGGCAAAACCGACTGCAGAGAATGAGTGTAAATAAACGTGTCCAGGAATGCAGTCTACTTTAATATTTACACTTACACAGCTGCTATACTGACACATTAAGGAAATATTTTCCATGTCTCTCTTGTCTTTGCGTGCTTTCATTTAGCAAAGCCCCACTTTCAGCATCAGAAGATACCTTTATCAAACCTGATTCTCATAATGGCTCTGTCTCTTCTTTGATTTCAGCTCCTTAAGCCACTGAGGAGATTTTTCCTCTGACCTAGGATATAAAAACACACTCTTTAATAATGAAAATTCATCAATGAAACAAACCAAAAAAAAAAAGAATTACACAATTTTCTCGAGCCTCAGGAGCCCTCCTTGCACCTTTTTGACTCTTGTGGAAGTCTCTCACCTTTCCTCCTTCTCTACACTGGAGGGCAGTATTCTGCTACCAGTTCCAAGCTGTGGTTTAGGGGATTTGAACGGCTGAGCAGAACTTGGCTCACCAGGACTCTCAGATTCGTGTCTTTTCCGCAGCTGGGCCTAAAAAGTGAAAATAAAGAACAGGGGTCCTTCTTAAGGCAGCAGGAAGGCTGTGCAATGCAAAACCCATCACACGTTTATAAACAGAAATGATCCAACAAACTGTGCCTTCACTCACCTTGAGAACAGAGTGGTCCATTCCTGGAAATATGGGAAGCCTCTGACCTTGCATAGCAGACAATCTCCCAGAACGCAGTGTCCTTTCTTCCTCATCAGAATCCTCTTGTTGCATAGGTTTCTTCTCTTCTAATCAATTGTTTAAAAGAAAATATGTATGTTCAGCAAGCTTTCCACCTCTAAGTTGTTCTAGAACTCTGCTGTTCAAAAATGTATTAATAATAGTAATGCACCACTGTAATGAGTTCAGTGCTCCAATGGAGCAACAATCACCCTGAACACTCAGCAACAGAAAGATTTCTTGCTGGCTGACAGAAGGGAACCAAAGGTACTCCTCAGTTAATGAATGTTGCTTTGTGGAGACCTGAGAGTGGCCCTTCAGTATCTAAAGGGGCTGTGAAAAAGAAGGGGATGGACTCTTCAGCAGGGAAAGGACAAGGGGAAATGATTTCAGACTTAAAGAGGGGAGATTTGAGAAGGATATTCGGAAGAAGTTTTGACACTGAGGGCAGTGAGGCACTGCACAGGGTGCCCAGAGAGCTGGTGCTGCCCCATCCCTGCACACAGCCACGCTCAGGGCACGGGGCTGTGAGCACTGCTGGAGCTGTGGGTGTCCCTGTGCACTGCAGGCAGTGGGAGCAGATGGCCTTTGGGGGTCCCTTTGGACTGCAATGGCTCCACAACCCCTTCACTCATTATTTTCTCCACAAACAAGCTTGTCTTATTCCAGCTGCCAGAACTAACGGAGATGGAAGCTCTCCTCCACTTCAGTCTTTGGTAGCTCACAGCAGCAGAGCACCCTCCAGGCTCCAAGGAACGGAGGGGAAGGCTCAATTCAGAGGATGGCCCA